AGTTGGAGGTGTGCAACAGTGTGGAGCTGTGTTTGGTCAGAACTCCATGCCACTGCATGCTCCTGGCTCCTTGCAGATGCATATCCCCAGTTTTGCACTGCATGAATGCATTTCCAAGCAGCCACACACCCCTGAACCCATGCTGCCGCACACCCCTGGCACTGCAGTCCAGTCAGAGCTTTGTGCTGCCAGGAAAGCACAAAGCTTTGAGCTTTGTGCTGCCAGGAAATGACACACAATTGGAGGCATGAGACTGCAGAGCTGTGTTTGTGCAGCCAAACACTCCTGGCTCTATGCTGCTGCCTGGAGGCATGGAGCTCTGGCCAGTCAGCAATGTCAGGGGTATGTGGCAGTGCAGAGCTGAGGGGCAGTACACTTCTGGTAGCCCACCAGACTACCAAAGGGCCAGATAAAACAGTCTGCAGTCCATATGTTTGATACGCCTGATCTAAGGTAACAGAAGAAGATGCTGCTCTGTGATGTTCTGGTTGATTATCTGTAAAAGGGATGCAGGCTTAGAAAGGACCTAAGCCCTAAAAGGAGGAGACAAGAGGACAGGTCTAAGAAGTCAAATTTCTCTCCCCACTCCTTGCTGAGACATCTCCAGTGAACTGGACTGACCACTGGAGAGAAGCTTGCCCCATTTGACCTAAGGGAACCTTCACTCTCCAGTGGCAGAATGGAAATAGCTCTGTGCTGCATATGCTACTCCAATTTAAGGGTAGGAGAAGATGCCATCAGGGCCCTTGCCACTCTATTCTTTCTCAGATCCAAATTCCTGCCTCTACTCAAGCTTTTGGACAGTTTCTCAATCCAGTCTCTAAAATCTCATGAGCTCTCTAGGTAGGCTCTAGCATCTCTGGCATCTGTATTAAGAGAGACAGTGGAGAGAACAGGGAGGAGATGAAAACCCTTGATGAAAGCCTCACAAGAAACTGTTACTGAATCCCACCATTCAATAATATACTTCACCTATGTAAAATAAAGCAACGCCTTCCAGTTTAGCTGAGTAATAGTTAGCTTTCCACCTTCCCAGCCCTTCCATGGAACAAGAGAAATGACTAAAGTGGTTGAGCTGATTTCCTAAACTCAACCCAAGCTCCATCTGCAAAAATGGGCTCCACCTCACCCAGGCAAGCATACCAATTCTGTGCAACCTTCCAAAATACCTCTGCCCCCACACCATCCACGCACAGTAGGACCACATTAATTCTTGAGCTTCCCAAGACTCTCAACATTGGTGGAAATGGGGCAGGATTTATCCTTTAATGACAAGGCAAAGCCAGAAAATAGGGGGAAGGCATGCAGATGGCCAAGAGAGACTAAAAGGGGTACGAGACACCTGATAGCTCACTAAAAGGGTAGCTGGAGCTTCACTGGGTAAAATGTCTTAAAACTCTTAACAGCCTGGCTCAGGCCCTTAGCTCTGTACCTTTCAAACTCAGTTTCAGGTATCTGCCAATTTTGCTGTAATGAAACTACTTTTTTTTGTCCCCCACCAAACCTTTATACTATATACAAACACAGTCCAGGCTGCTGTTGATGTCAGTTCTGTATGAGGAGAGTGTTGTTCTGTCTTGGCTGCATAGCAAGGGTATCTATCAGTAGTAGAACTATACAAGGCCTCACAGAGGTAACTTTCTCTTTATCAGTAGCAAGTGCAAGATGCTTGAAGAAAACTCTTTGTGTAGCAAACTGTTCTGACATCCCACTTGAGGAGCAAAAGGCCTGGCGACCACTATTGCCACATCCTATCCTTCTTTTTATACTTCTGTGACAGTCTATTGCGGGACCTACCGATGGCTTGGGGAAGATCTATGAAATATCACAGGTGATAGTATCTATTCTCTATATAAATAGTTTTACACATGAGAGCGGGGACATGTTATTAAACTTTGGATATTGCTCCTCTTTGTTCTCCTGCCCCTGAAGGCTGTGGACTGAAAATTGAATCGTCTAGCTGTGGTCACACTTGAATATCAAGTATTAAAAATAATTATGTGATGAGGGGACTCAACATTTCTCAGCACAGAGCGTATAATGTGATATCATTACAGTACATGAAACTATCACTTAAATAGAGTATTGTATTCAGCAGAGGTCTTTGTTCATTTACTATTTTATTTTAATTACCTCACTACTGTAATTCAACTATAAACATGCACCCACTCTGGAAGAACTGCAAATTTAACCATAGTGCATGCAGATCAGCAGACATCAAAAAAGGTCATAATTATTTCCTGTCTATTACAGCCTGCTTGGCCAGCAGAGACTGTTACAGAATCTGAGTGATACTCTATTGGAAGATTTATGTTTATTTGTTTGGGTTTTTTCTCCGTTATTCTGAACTAATGTGAATAAGCCCTGCTGCTTGTGTCAGAAATGGTACAGACAATACACAAACTAAAGCAAAATATTGTGCACTTCTACAGTTTGTCTGATACTGCAGACCCTTACTCTTCAAAATAATGATGTCAATGTGATTCACTTCTAGACTTAATCCCAAGTAACAATCAAGAGGTTTCTGCTAGTGAGCCACTCTGTAATAGCAGTCATAACAATCACATTCAATATTTTAGCAGGAGGGAGTAAGCCAAAAAATTCTACCATGCCGATATACAACTTTAGGAAAGGAAGTTACACAGAAAGAGGAAGTTAGAAAGAAGTTTAAAGGAGTAGTCAAAAACATAACAGGTCTGCAGGCAGCTTGGAAGTTGTTTAAAAATACTATATTAGAGGCTTCAGAATACTGTATACCACAAATCAAAAGGGTACCAAGAAGACCAAAAAAACCCCTGCATGGTTTAACAGCAGTTAAGGAGGCCATTCAATGAAAATGCATCCTTCAAAAAAATGAAAGGCATGCCCAAATGAGAAAAACAGCAAAGCCCACAAACTCTGACAGGTAAAATGTAAAAGTGAAATAAGGCAGGCCAAATAAGGAGCTGAAAAGTTAATAATAAAAGCTCTTAAAAAAAACATACCAGAAGAAGGGAGCCAGCTAGAGAATCACTGGGACCATCACATGACCAGGATGTAAAAGGTGCACTCAGGGATCATAAGGCCATAGGAGAGAAGTTAAATAAGTTCTTTGCATCGGTATTTACTGCAGAAAATATTGGGGAAATTCTCATGCCAGATCAGTCCTTCCCAGTAGATAGGTCTGAAGAGTTAGACCACATTAGACCACATTAAAGTGACAGCAGCAGAAGTTTTAGAACAAATCAATAAACTAAATACTAATAAGTCACCAGGACTGGGTGGTATTCACCTGAGAGCTCTGAAGGAGCTCAGAGATGAAATTGCATGACTATGGGCAATAGACCGTAATCTATTGTTACAATAGCCTCTGTGCTGGTGGACTAGTGATTTGCCAACGTAACACCCATCTTCAAAAAAAGGCTCTAGATGTGATCCTGGGAACTACAGTCCAGTGAGTCTCACTTCCGTGCATGGCAAGTTGGTACAATATATAATAAAGAACAAAATCAGCAGTCACATGGACAAATACAATCTGCTGGGAGGAGTCAGCATGGTTTTTGTAAAGGGAAATTCTGCATCACCAATCTTTTGGAGTTCTTTGAGGGTGTTAATAAGCACATGGACAAGGGGGATCCAGATGACTTTCAAAAAGGTTTCAACAAGGTCCCTCACCAAAAAAAAACTGCATTGTCACAGAATTGGAAGAAAGGTTCCATTTGTGGATTAAGACCTGGTTAAAAGATTGGAAGCAAAGGGTACAGCTAAATAATTACTTTTCAGAATGGAGGGAGGTCAAAAGTGGGGTCCAGCAGGGTTCTGCTCTGGGTTCTATTTTGTTCAACTTTTTCATCAATGACCTGGAAGTCGGGGTGTACAGTGAAATCTCCAAGTTTGTGGATGATACCAAATTATGCCAGGTAATCAAGTCCCAGGCTGATGGAGAGGAGCTACAAAAAGATCTCACCGAGCTAAGCAAGTGGGGAAAAAGAGTGGCAGATGAACTTCAAATGTTGACAAGTGCAAGGTTATGTACCTGGGAAAAAATAACCTCAACTACCCATACACAGGGCTGGGTTACAAACTAGGTGTTCTGAAGCATGACCTCCACTTGCAGGGAAGAACAGCTCCAGTTCCCGAAACAAGGTCAGAAAACAGACCCTGAATTCTCTAAAAACATTAGCTCAGTGTGCGGTGGCAACCAAAAAGTCCATAAAATGCTGGGCATCATTAAGAACGGAATGGAAAACAAACAGAGATCATTATCATGCCATTATACAAATTGATGGTGCACCCACATCTTGACTACTGCGTGCAGTTCTGGTTCCAACACCTGAAAAAGCATACAGAAGAACAAGAAAAGGTACAGAGAAGGGCAACCAAAATGATGAGGGGCGTGGAGCAGTTACCATACCAGGAGAGACTAAAAGAATGCTAGGACTCTTCAGTTTGGAAAAGAAGTCTGAGGGGAGGTATGACAGAAGTCTATAAAATCACAAAAGGCGTGGGCCAAACGAACAGGAAATTGTTGGTTCACCAAATCGCGGAATACTAGAACTAGGGCATATCCACTGAAATTAGTAGGAGACAAGAGAAAGTAAAACTAAATAACATGAGAAACTAACAAGAGAAACAAAAGTAACAACATAATTTTTTGCATAATGCATAGTTAACTTTCACAATTTATTGCCCAGGAGGTGGTAGAGGTACCACAAGACAGCGTTGTCAGAATCGAAAATAGACTAGGCACATTCATAGATGATATATATAGTAATAGCTATTTAAAAAAACAGTTGGAGATGTTTCCTCTGGCATCTCTAAACCAATAATGGTGGATGCCAGGAAGGGTAATGAATAGGGGACAGATCACTCTAGATCCAGCTGGGTCAACACTCTCCCTCTAGCATCTACTACTGCTACTCTCAGAGGGGATACTGAGCTAGACAGACCATTGGCCTGATCCAGTATAGCACTTCTTATGTTTTTATGTTTCATTAAGGAATCAACCCCATGGTACGTACCTTCATTAACAGCATGAGGCTTAATGATGCAACATGTACAGTTTATAAATTTTGCACTATTGGCTGGTCCGCGACCTCCACCTGAAGGGAAAAACAGCTCCAGTTCCTGAAAACAATTGCAAATGAAAATGTTTTAGCACTATACAGTCAACAGTATGTCTCAGATCTTTAGTACAAACAGTATTTTGAGACATCTTGAGTCATAAGAGACAATCTAATTCATTTATTTGGGGATAAGAATATTTTCCCTTTAAAATGTATCCTTTTCTCCCTAGCACCATTGCTACAGGCATATTTCCTGCCTTAGCTACATTTTGAACTATTCTGTTGCCCTAATCAGGTCTCTTGACACCACTTCTTCCTACATTTCTGTATTCAGTTCAAACTTATTCTAACTTTCATATTACCCTACAAATCCATTCCCTTCTCTGCATCTTTAATCTCATTTCTTCTGACACTACATCTTCTTCCCTAAATGAATGGGTGGAATCCCCACTTAGCTCTTAATACAGCATGCATATATATACAAAATTAGTATGCACACTAGACCTCAATCCCCCCTCTGAGAATTATTTTATTCTTAACAAGTAACAAAACTTGCTTGAATTTCTTGGCTGACTTCTCTTTCCTTAGATCTTCTCTATCTTTAATCTTTCTGAATTTGGGCTCTTGCCTGGCCCAGATACCTGGGTAAGTCAAGAGAATAGCTCTGCATCAACACAGTGTCCTCAAAACCTGACATCTTGCAACACGAGTTCTTCCCAAGTCTTTCC